CGAAAATCGGAGAGTTGAAAGGGTAAATCGGATAGTTGTCTCAACTATATTTTTTAAAATAATTGAGTGTTTGAATTAGTTTATGCGTATCTTAATTAATTCTGAAATTTTAAAGTGGACAAATTTTCAATGATTCCAAAATTTATAATATTTAACCTTCTTAAGATTTGAACATGCAACCTTTTGGTAGTAAGTATTTTGATTGTTTTTTCTTCCTACTAAAGCCAAATCTCTTGGGATAGAGAGTTGTCCCACTTCAACGTAGAGGAATATACAAGGAATTAGATGTCGTTCTGATAGGCGAAAATAACTCTCAAATTTATGAGAAAATAGAACCTTGAATCCATAAAAAAGAAAAATATCTTAATTATATTGAGCAAAACTTATACTTATTATAAGACTTACATAGCTATTTATAAGTCTTGGAGACTAACTAAACTTAGACACCAAGATAACTAAAATTAGGAAATAATAAATTATTCTTACTTTTGGAAAATTGGGAGATGAATTTTAGAGATAAAAAGTACGAAAAGTTGTTTGATTTGATTTTTTTCAAAAGATGTTTTGAAAAATTATTTTGAGAGAGAGTTTCAAAAAAGTGATTGATTTGATGTGTATGAGAGAGAGATTTGTTTGGAAAACTTGTAAACCAAACAAGTTTTGGGAAATTTTTTTGAAAAAATTTATTTGGTTTGATTACTTTTGAAAACTTATTTGTAGAGAAATTTTCCAAAAATTTTTGGGAAACACAAACCAAACAAGGCCAAGAAACCTAAGAAATTAGGAAAACAAAATCAAAATAAATTAAGAAATCTAATAATTCTAAAATATTAGTATTAAAAATATAAAAATTTCTAAAATCTTGTCCTACATCAAACTCCTCATCTTTGAAAGAACTTGTCATTTAGTTCATATTAGAGGTCTACCATTGTCCGTGCCAAATAAAAAAATAGTTAGAATACCACAGTTGTTTGCCTCTCTTCCAAAAATTATATGCAGAAAAGTCTCCTTTTCTGAAAATTCTTCTCTATATGCTTTAACTGGTTGACAAGATCAATTAGACAAGCATTAAAAATCAAATTAAATTGCTCCACACTAAGAAAATCAACAAAATTTACTTTATTACATGCTCTCTTGATTTTGCACTGTCCCAGATTCAATTGATCCTTCTGTTATCAACATTGAATATCAAGTGTAGTATCAACTATTCACCCAAAAAAAAGTGTAGTATCAACCAATTTCTTTGTTGCACACAGTGGTTGTATTATCTCTTTTTCTATTTTATCTTTGTCACTAGGGTCAATCAAATCTCCTTTTTGTTTAAGTATTTTTATGATTTGTTTGTAAAACTTTATCTCTAGCATTCTAATTACCAACAATTGATATATTATCAACGCTAGAACTAGACTTTGTATCTTTTTCATTAGTTTTACAAAAAAATCTCACCATAAATAATATTTGGATGAGAAATCTTTTCTTTTGTAATGACAATTTTATCGCAAACTTTTACAACCTTTATTGAAGAATCTTGATTTATATATGACAAAATATCTTCATGACCATGAAAGTAAAATTTACTTGTTAAATTTTTTTTCATTACTAACCATGAACGAATTTTATTTTTACCTTCCCGAACTCGATAATCTTATAATCCATTCCATCACTTCAATGTAATCTTATCAAGTTTATAAGATGTAAATATAACTTTCTTTTCGTAAGGAATCTTCATGTATTCAAAGAAATTTTCAAAATCAAGCAACCAATCAAGAAAATTCTCTTTTTGAAACTTACTTGAACCTTTAAAATATGAAATTTTTGAAAAATAATGTAAGCTAACAGGTTGGCCTCGAGTAAATCCTCCGGTGCAATTATTGATCAACTGTTGGTTGCCTCTGGTTGACAATTAGTCCCAAATTGGCAAGTAGATTACAAATATCATTGTGAAGTTCGTGCACTTCTAGCCAATGTTCCTCAATCGCATTCCATATGGCTTCTGCCCTACGATCATCGTCAGTAGGGGTCGCATGTTCTCCATTGTCATGTGTCATTAAGCTAGGCAAATCCATGCTCTGATACCACTTGACGATGCAGAATATACAAGGGATTAGATATCATTCTTATAGGCGAAAAGGATTCTCGAATCCCCAAGAAAAATTGAACCTTAAATCCACAAGGAAAAGAAAATATCTTAATTTTGTTTGAGACCACAAAAATATCTTAATTATATTGAATAAAAATTGTTTTTACCATAAACCTAACATAGTTATTTACAAGATTAAGCCCAAACGATTAATCAACCCTTCTCTTACAATGAACAGGGACACGATCCTTATCATTCTTAACAAAATCAAAATCAAAACCGAAATGAATTAAATACTTTGACAATGCATCCCAGAATTCAACAACTCCTTGAGCAAACCTTTGTCCCACTCTTTTCATACAATTAACCCAACCATCGGAGAGCAAAGGTTTCCATTGACTTGAATAAAATGAATGCAAAAAATCAGTTTCACAAACAACACTACTACTACTACTATTAGCTTCACCATTACAAATGATATAACCTTCACTCAAATAACAACACTTAACAAAAACATCAATACGATAAATACCACAAGAAAGTGCAAATCCAACCATAACCTCTCCAAATCCTTTTCACTTTCTAGACTACAACAAGAATGTTCAGACGTTGAATATGAAAGATTCAAAGAACTACCAACTAACTCCACTTTGCACACAATTTGTATACTAAATCGTTGAAATTAAATCCATCATTATACTTGATAACCAATGTCACACCTCTAAACTTGCGCATAAGAAACAAAGAATTATCCATCATTATAAATACTGTCACAAACAAAAATTATATTTCAGCAAACTACTCAAACAAACTAAAACAAATTCTAATATAGTGATAAAATTATCAACCAACTCAAATACATCCAAAAACCAACAGTGATAAATTTTATCACTATAAAAAATGTGATGATCGGGTATGTTATCTATCAGGTTCTCTTTGTTTAACCTTTGGTTTTCCTTGTTAGAGTGTCGGGTTGGACCGAGAGTCTAGTTAACGGTTTGAGGTGAGTTGCATTTGCAAACTTTTCTCAAAATCCTTGTCCTTGTTTACTTCTGTGTCAAGTTTCATCTGTTTTGGAAGGTACGGTATTGAATCCGGGGTGTCCCGAGTCGAGCTGGGGTGATTTCAGGTTGAGAGGCTGAACAGCACATACGGGGGCCTTGGGCCGCACGTGCGGAAGAGGGGCCGCACGTGCAGGAAGTGGGGCCATATGTGCAAGAGGTGAGGCCGCACGTGCGAAAATCAAGGGAAGTCCTGAGCGCACACTGCAATATATGCACATGCGGAAGGAAGTGTGGGAGAGGTGTCGCACGTACAGGGACGAATGCCGTACGTGCAGGAGACGCTGAGTCCGAACATCTGCTTTTTCTTGTTTTCTTGGGCTGAGTGTATATCATTTTATACATCTCTCTCTCTCTAAAAATCCTTTTCTCCTCCATCTCTCTACATTTCCTACATCAAATCTCACTAGATCTTTGATTTCTTCAAATCCATAAACATTTTGACCCTTGTTCCCCGTAAACTGTCTTCTACATCGGTCCGACATGACCCCGTAAACTGTCTTCTACAACGGTCCGACATGACCCCGTAAACTGTCTTCTACATCGGTCCGACATGACCCCGTAAACTGTCTTCTACAACGGTCCGACATGACCCCGTAAACTGTCTTCTACATCGGTCCGACATGACCCCGTAAACTGTCTTCTACAACGGTCCGACATGACCCCGTAAACTGTCTTCTACATCGGTCCGACATGACCCCGTAAACTGTCTTCTACAACGGTCCGACATGACCCCGTAAACTGTCTTCTACATCGGTCCGACATGACCCCGTAAACTGTCTTCTACAACGGTCCGACATGACCCCGTAAACTGTCTTCTACATCGGTCCGACATGACCCCGTAAACTGTCTTCTACAACGGTCCGACATGACCCCGTAAACTGTCTTCTACATCGGTCCGACATGACCCCGTAAACTGTCTTCTACAACGGTCCGACATGACCCCGTAAACTGTCTTCTACATCGGTCCGACATGACCCCGTAAACTGTCTTCTACAACGGTCCGACATGACCCCGTAAACTGTCTTCTACATCGGTCCGACATGACCCCGTAAACTGTCTTCTACAACGGTCCGACATGACCCCGTAAACTGTCTTCTACATCGGTCCGACATGACCCCGTAAACTGTCTTCTACAACGGTCCGACATGACCCCGTAAACTGTCTTCTACATCGGTCCGACATGACCCCGTAAACTGTCTTCTACAACGGTCCGACATGACCCCGTAAACTGTCTTCTACATCGGTCCGACATGACCCCGTAAACTGTCTTCTACAACGGTCCGACATGACCCCGTAAACTGTCTTCTACATCGGTCCGACATGACCCCGTAAACTGTCTTCTACAACGGTCCGACATGACCCCGTAAACTGTCTTCTACATCGGTCCGACATGACCCCGTAAACTGTCTTCTACAACGGTCCGACATGACCCCGTAAACTGTCTTCTACATCGGTCCGACATGACCCCGTAAACTGTCTTCTACAACGGTCCGACATGACCCCGTAAACTGTCTTCTACATCGGTCCGACATGACCCCGTAAACTGTCTTCTACAACGGTCCGACATGACCCCGTAAACTGTCTTCTACATCGGTCCGACATGACCCCGTAAACTGTCTTCTACAACGGTCCGACATGACCCCGTAAACTGTCTTCTACATCGGTCCGACATGACCCCGTAAACTGTCTTCTACAACGGTCCGACATGACCCCGTAAACTGTCTTCTACATCGGTCCGACATGACCCCGTAAACTGTCTTCTACAACGGTCCGACATGACCCCGTAAACTGTCTTCTACATCGGTCCGACATGACCCCGTAAACTGTCTTCTACAACGGTAAAAAAAAACAAAAAAAAAAAAAAAAAAAAAAAACGACGACTGCCATACCCACACAGGTACATGGGACAGCACACATTGAGACATGCCTCCTCTGTTTCCACATGCCACTCCCAATCACCCGAATAACACAACCCCGCACATCGGAGTCCGATGATCGGACCCATCTCCGGCGATGATCCGCCGGAATCAGATACAGATTTCACCGGCGACATAGCCCACAACAGATTCAGCTTCCGATTCAACATAGCCTACACAATCTACTTCATTCTCGGCTGCGCCTTCCTCCTCCCCTGGAACGCCTTCATCACCGCCGTCGACTACTTCTCCTACCTCTACCCGGCCGCCTCCGTCGACCGTGTCTTCGCCGTCGCCTACAAGCCCCTCGGCCTCTTCTCTCTCCTCTTCATCGTCGCCTATGCCCACAAACCCTATTCCTATATCCGAGTCAACGTAGGCCTCTCTCTCTACGTTTTCTCTCTCCTCCTCGTCCCTGTTATGGATGTGCTTTACATCAAGGGCCGCACCGGCCTCTATGATGGCTTCTATGTCACGGTGGCGGCGGTGGCGATTTCTGGTGTGGGAAGTGGGTTGGTTCAGGGTGGGATCGTTGGGGCCGCCGGAGAGTTGCCGGGGAGGTATATGCAAGCTGTTGTCGCCGGGACTGGAGCTTCAGGTACTGTTTCTGTTTTTGTTGAATGCTATTGTTTTATTCATTGCTTATATGTGGTTTAGTATATTTCTACTGGGCTGTGGCTCACCCTTTATGGGAACATCATTTTCAGGTTCAGGTGATAAACTACCTCCAAGGACTTAGCTTGGGAGGGTTTGGCTTCTGGATTTGAAGAAGACTATCTTTAGTTAATTGTCTTTATTTATTAGTAAATGTAAACATTCAAGCCTAGGGTTTTTTTTTGTATTGAGTTAGAACTCATATTTTTGTATCCAAGTGTTGGCTTGGAAAGATGTAAGCCTGTAGGGCATTTTATTCGATGTTACATGTAATGCTTTATTTAGTAATACTCTGATGAATGAATTAATAAATTGTCTTCTTTAAATAATGCATGTCAATGATATATATAATGGGTTATTTTTGAGGGCGTTACAGCTGGTAAGTCCGGATAGGAGGTGTAGATGAAATTGATTAAGTTGGCCTGAGTGTTCGGAGTGAAAGACCGAAAATATGTGCGGAGGAGGAACCACGTGCCTTCCGGTTAGCTACTAGTGAAGTGGGGATTTGGTAGTGCTAGTTATGCTTACTTGCATACACCAACCTAGGGATTACTTGAGTCGTATTTACCGCCCTTGAACTAAATTGATGATTTTTGAATTGTTGAGATTTCAAGTTATCATTGAGTATGATGGTTTCAAAAGATGTAAATGTGATTTTCCTTCAAAAAGCATAGTACAGCATGGCATATGCATTTCAGTTTGTGAAGGTTGTATAAAATGTATATACTTTGTTAAGAATTCTCTACTGGGTTTTATACTCACCCCTAAGGGATTTTGGTGTAAGAAAGGATGTGGCAATTCCGCCGAATTAGGGCGTGGGCATAAGTGTTGAGAGCATACAATTAAGGTTTGTACATTAAGGTTTGTTCAAAAATAAATAAATGCCCTAAAGGTTGAACATTTATTTATTTTTGAACTTAATGTTCTACATGCTATAGGTTTATATACTTGAGATCATTGAATGTATAATTTGCATGTGGAATCATTTTTGTACAAACCTTAATGTTCAAGTAAAGAAAAGGTTGGAGTATTATTTTATGAGCATTGGTTGACGTATTCATACGGTGTTATAAATTTTTGAAGCGTTACAGAAAATAACAAAAATTACCTACACAATTAAACCACTATGCAACTTTTTCATCTCCTATTTCCATACTCACTAATAAATTTTATCACAATAGAAAATAATAAACCGGCAACTGTGTTTAACCAAAACAATTTTGCAACAAAACAATTCAATAGTCATCACATACACATATCTCAAACCTTTCAACATTATCATCAAAATAAATATTTAATATCATAAACAACAACATCATAACAATAATATCAAAAATCAAATAAAAATCACAAACTCAAACAAAAAGTATATAAATCTGCATACATAGCCAAATAGTTTTCGAAATCGACAAATCAACAAAGTCAAAGAATCGTAGAATCATAAAATTGCATATATATATATATATATATATGTATGTATGTATATTAATCAAACGAACCAAAAACCTAACAAAATCACAAACCTAATTGCAAAAATCAATTACAGTTGCAGCAAAACTCCATGATCATCAATTGCAATCAACTTCAAATCGATTGTAACTCAACTCTAAATTGCAAACAGATTCCACTCACCAAAAATCTCTAAGTAAATCAGTTCCATTCACTCACGAATCAATTCCATATTCAATTTCCTCCTCTAAAAAGCTCACAAAAAACAAATAGAACCACAAAATTCAAACCAAGCGCGAAAAGTATAACGGGGGCAAAATCGGGATAAAAATATATAACAAGACTTGCTGGTGTATGAGATAGAAACTTAGGACCTAATAGATAATAGATTCAATTATTGGGACTGGCTAATAAAAATGCCAAAATATATTATGGACTTCCCAGATGACCCTAAATCATGTTCACAAATTGGGATCGAATTTAAAGTAGATAATTAACCCGAACTGTTCTATTCAATTCCAAAAAAGAGAACTTAACAGTTGAAGTTTTGTCACCAAATCATAGAAATCGATTTAATTTTATGATTTTAGGCAATTCTATTCAAGAAAATTTTGATCATCAATAGAAGATTAATTAATTGTAATATAACATATAAGTACCTTGAATTAAATTGATTGCAACAAAAATAATGGCTACGTAAATTTAGAATAATATTAATATCAAAAATAAGTTTAAAGCAAAATATTTATGTTTGTTAAAGTAAAATGTTAAAAAATTTGAGGTTAGAAGGCAACATAGGCTAATTTCCGAGCGTTGTCAATACTCGATTAGTATTAGTGATATATAAATAGAAAAAAATATGGGAAATTTAAATATGGAATGATGTAGTTATGTTGATATTTGTTATTTTAAAGTATATTATCCTAAATAATATTTAATTACAGAAATGTCACTCTCACATTATTTTGTTGATAAATTTTGTATAAAAATTATATATGAAGTATTATTTTTCATACCCAAGTGTCATTTTACCTATAAATTCCAACTATTCAAACATAATTTCACAATATTTTGATACAAAATTGATACAATTAAAATTTTAAGAACCATAGTCACATAGAGCTTTTGAAATGAGACCAATTTGATTCAAAATTTAAAAAATTCAAATAAAATTCACAAAATTAAAATTTAATAGAGCAAAATAACGCAAAACATAAATAATACGTAGTCATTGACTTCATCTATATGACAAGTTAATTGGCAACTTTTTTGTATTCTTAAAACATAAATAATACGTAGTCAATTAGGCCTAATGTAAAACTGGAACCACTAGGAAGCCCACACCAAGATTCTCGTCAGCTATATACATAAACAAATAAAAAGTCATATTTTTTATATATTTATATTCCATATAGCACATGCACTAGTTCGGCTTTCATTTTAATCTTGACTTTGTATGCCAAGTCCATAGCATTTCTTTATTTAATTCTTTGTACCTTATGTGAATCCTATGAAAATTCTCATTTTAAATATGAATTATTTATTTTTAAAAATACAATCATTATTTTTTTTAATGATAAACGCAACAAATTAAATAAGTTATAATTATCAAATTAACTTAATTTTTTATATAGATGAAATATCCGAAATGTTTAACAAAATAAACAATATAAATTATTAAAATAAAACTCATGATGAATCCAATACGCCCAAACAGAACCTACAATCTAGATTATGAACTATAGGAAATCCTCAAATTTCAACAAAGGAAAACAGTTGGCAACGCGGCTCCCACTCTCTCCTTGGGAAATTCCATCTTCATTGTCTCTTTCATTTATATATATGTATATATGTATAATGTTACTTCAAACTCTGCCGATTCAATTTGATTGTGAGTACCATATTTTGTTTGTTTGTTTGTTTGTTTGTGTTTAATCTATGTGACAATGCTCGAGGTCACCTAATTTACGAAAACTTCTAACAATTTATAGCATTAAAGCTAATTTATCATTCACGTTCGACACTAATTCTTTTGTGTGTTCGTCTAACTGTTATTGTTCATCTTTCACAGAAAGAGAGAGGAAGAACATAATTAAACGCGAAAATGGTGTCATTTGTGAGAATCTTCGGTAATTAGTATATATTTATCGAATTCCTTAGTAATTTAATCCATTTTGATGTTGTATATGGAGTGCTAACATGTTGGTTTGTCTTGTTATCTTTCATCGATCCTATGATAGTTCTGATGTGGGCTGACTTACTAGCCGGGTACACCATGTGGATGATGATGCTATACTTAACAAATGTTTGGAAGCTCAACTTCACTCATGCTGCTGCAATTATCAATGTGTTTTGCGGATTGACGGCAACTATGCTCTTGCCTATGCAATTCCTCGTTGATGCCTTCTTGGGTAACTACTGGATGCTTCTCATCTCCAGTTTTGCCTATAGTGCAGTGAGTTTCTCCTCTTCTTCCCAACTCCCCAAACTGTCGTGCTTTTTTTCAAAGTCTAATCAAAATAGAGTAGAGGCGATCAACGCATGACAATTCTTCTTAAGTGTGACCGTATACAGGAGCTCCATCACTGAGGAGCTAAACAAGAGGGGCCTACCTAAATGGTCCTATAAATGAGGGGTTTGCAAACTTCGCAGGGTATCCACAGACCGTCCTTGGCTATGAATTATGGATACTCTAAAAATATTGTCATATTCATACCGAGTGTTTACCGGGTATTGATACTTGTACCGATAGGACTGTATGTGTACTAGGTACTCAAAATATATACTGGATACTTTTTATATATTTTTTGACAGTTGGGTACTCCATAAATACTTAATGGGTACATCAGGTGTACACCAAGTTATAGGACATTGATGGAGATGCATTTAATTTATTAGATAGTTCTTATTTATTTAAAATTGCAAATCATTTACTTGATGTGCCAGCGATGAAAGATACATTATTCAATGCTGAAGCTGATGGAAGTGAAAACTAAAATTTCAAGTTTTTAAATTTTGCTTAGCTTACTTTTGGAATGAAACTTTGTTTTATAATTTTTCCTATTTAATGACATTAAAATAGTTTATACACTTTGCTTTAGTATTGGTATTGTTGAATTATGATTTTTTTCTTTTTGGTTTTGTAATTTCTCTTTTTAGTTTTGGTATTGAACTTTGATTTGCAAATTGAATTTCAAACTATAAATTATAAAAAATAAAAAATTTATTGACGTCCGTATTTTATTATTTTTTTTAAGTTTTACCGTATCGACATACTGTATCGTTCCCATACCAATATCTGTATCCGCACCCATGCTTCATAAGTCCTTGGAGACAAACTAAATCATAGCTTGAGCCCAACCCTACCGAGGGCATAGTGGAAAGAGCAATACTAGGTATCATGAAAAAACTTTCATGAAAATGATCATGAAAGATTTATGACCCTTGGATTACACTTAAAATAAAGCACCACACACTAATCAAGGTAATCCAAGGGTCATAATTCTTTCATGATCATTTTCATGAAAAATTTTTCATGATCCCTAACTTTTCTCTAGTGGAAATGAATCTTTGCACTCTAAAAATTGTCTGTGAGATTTGAACTTGTAACCTCATATTCATTAAAATATATTTGTGAGTAAGCCTATTCTCCAAATCACATGATAGTACATCTCTTCCAAATCATGGTTACAAAAATTTTAAATCACAAGACTTGAATATAAGATTTTTTTGTTTTTAGATAGGGAATATAAGACTCCTTGAAACCAAACTTATTATCACCGTGTTATATCAACCAAACACTTAAATTACTCCTTATTGATTGTCATGGGCTATGCTAGCAATTCTATAAGATTTGTCTTCTCAGACGCAAACTTCTCTGTGTGCAGGGTTTGGGATTCCTAACAATGTCAACCCCTCCGGTCCTCGCCAAGGCCACAGGCACTTGCAGTCTATACGAGCCCGAATGCATTGGCGAGGGACAGAAAGTACTCTTCTACACAGCACTAGCTCTAATAGCTCTGGGACTCTCGGGTCACTTAATTTCACTACGCGCTTTCATAGCCGAGCAATTCTCAGAAGATGAACTCGACAACTTCACTGCGCGCACGTTCATCACCATGTTTGTGGGCACATACATCGCAGTCCTTGTCCCTGTAGGTGCTGTCATTGCGATTACATATATAAGGTTATGGTCGATTCGGTTTGGCATACCGGCCATTTGCACAATGGTGGCTACACTGGTATTCTTGAGTGGTTCGGGTTCGTACAATTGTGTTAAGCCGCAGGGTAGCTCGCTCACCATTGTGTTTAGAGTGCTTGTGGCTGCAACCTCCAAGATGTTTTGTAAGTGCCCAAAGGAGGCTGATCGGCTCTATGAAACAAGGGGTGTTGATGATGTTGATTTGTTGCCTCACTCACGTCACCTAAGGTATCTCTGAACTTGATCAAATTAGAAGATTCAACCATGATATTTCGAACATAAAGTTCACCACCGGTCTGACT